ATATGCTTCCTCAAATGCGTCAAGCTGTTCAGGCTTCAAGATTGCTGTTTGGATAGTGCGAACTGTGTCGCGCATTATTTGCAGGCTTGTTTCGTTCATCAGACGGCCCGATTTCTATAACATTTTATCACTAACCGTTTTCAAAGAACCTACCTCTACCTGACGCACAATAATGCGGATCAAGTCATCCACCGTCGGTGCGTAATTGGAAAAATCGTGCAGCTCCTCAGGGGTCAATTCATTCGTTAGGTAATCCATAATGCCGGTGTGAATGCGCAGGCCGGCCACAAAACCAGAAACCCCTAAACGCAGCCAGGTGGATTTTTTCCAGGGCACTCACGCTCCAGTTCACGATCCTCAATCATATCGGTGCTTGGTTGACCTTCCATTTCCCGAACCATCCTCTTCAGAGCAATCTGATAATCGAGAATAGCATCGAAATTTTTTTCATACCTCGGCCGAGCTTGGCTTTTGAGCCCCTTCAATGTAATCCCTGATGGCTGGCGATAGGGAATAGCTGTAAGCAAATGGCCCGGTTGCGGTTAGAGGGCAGACCTGAAAGCTTTGAAATATGTATCCGAATATCTGAAATCAATTAAAAAAAACGATCACCAACATGTTGGAAGAAGTTGTCGCATGGGTTTTTATCCCAGTCAATGTTCCGCTTTAGCACGCCGAGTATAAGATTTGTGAGCGGAGGTCGAGTGCGATTTTGACCGGAAGCCAGCTGTAGCAAGAACGCCACGATCCAAGCACCGCTACTGTAAACACCGTAGTCTGAAGAGGTCAAAAACCAACCAAAACCGCATCGCCCCCAATGAGGTGCCTGGCATTCACGGGCCACCTTTTAACACACTCGTCTACCTTTGAAAGCTTTGAGAATCTCGCGAATTGCCCAGGCTCCGCAAATTTCTTTTGACTACGCTCCTTTTTCGGAAAAGGGGCTGTTGAAATATTGTAATGCAAGTGAATCACTCAGTGGAAAGTTTTCGTAGGAATTTTCGTGGTGGTACGTTTCTCGATGAAGTTTTGGCGTGTGTCCGAGCAGTGACCGAAGCCGCAGCCCCGGGTGGCACGAAGCTTTTTCTAAGCGCAGAGCTCAAGAACGAGCGGCAGCTTGCTCTCCAGAACCGGTGAACTCTCATCCGAAGCCAATTTTGAACATTTTGATCGCGATATTCAGACACAATGCAAAAATAGCATCTGACTCTTTTTTTTGCTAGCCCACACTCAATAACCGGAAGTGTCGCGCCGCAAGTGTTGCGGTAAACCGCAAACAATGCTTTATTTCTTGATTTTTTTAATTAGTAGTTCCGGTCAAAGGTTTTGTTTAAGATTGAAGCGTCGTCCAACATCGCCAATCTGATTGCATTTCTCAGCCGGAGCGGCATGCTGAAAAAAA